ATTCCAATTCCAATTCTGGTCAATTCTTGTCAATTCCAATTCCAATTCTAGTCAATTGTAGTCAATTCCAATTCCAATTCCGGTCAATTCCATCAATTCTCGGAATTGGAACCGACTCGAATTGGAACTGGTGCATGCCTAATCGATAAAGCAACAGATCTATGCTTCTAATGTGACTATATGTGGTCGTATGTGAGATAAGGAAAAAGCACTAAATGCTAGATATCTAATAAAAGAAAGGTAACAGAGAAAACAAAAAAACAAAAAAAAGAATCATTAGTTGGCGGACTTTATGTACTCGTCGTATATGATTATGACATTTGTTCACTTGGCTTATTGTGGACTTGNTTATGATATTCTCATGTCATTTCGTAATTTAAATCGACGAATCAATGATATTATCAATAGTACTCAACTTCGTATCAATTTATCAATTTTATCCAAATCAATGTTTGATCGTCTTTTAAATCGATTTATTCCATACATATCAAAAACGAAAAATGATGAGAGAAAAGTAAAAAAGAGAAAAAAAATCCGAGAGATCGTGAAATAGAAGACAGAGATACTGGAAAGGAAGAAGAAAAGTATTCATTTTCTTCTTCATCCGTTTCACGGTCTTTACGGTGAATATTATTATGTTTAATAAAGAATGAGTTTTTTAAATAATAATCATATATTAATACAACCTTGTATTGTAAAATTTTGTATGTCTGACGAGGGAGGAGAAGGTTAAGAGATGATATGCTGACCTCTCTTTTGCTGTACATGTATCCAAACTAGTTTTGACTTTAGCTTTTTGTTATCACAAAATGTATTTAGTTCTTCTAATTGAATTTCTGTGACTGTACGTGACAGCAAAAGAATGCACTTACAGTAAAATCTCTCCATTGTGAACACCATCGGGACTTTTCAAAAGCGTTCACTGCAGGGTGATGTTCAGTTTAGAGATGATGCATGTTTTACTGTGAAATGAAGAAAAAGTTTTAGAATGTCTGCTTCTATACTAATTCTGAATTAAGTAGGAGCTTCTATTGTTCATCTCTTTTCATTTAAATGTATCTGAATTGAAATATTTTTCAATTACAACACAAAATTCAATTTTTTTAAAGAAAATCTTCTAAAGGCGTTTTTCAATAGATTCGAAGGGGAACGAATTATCGCATAGGATAGAGCACCTCAAAGTTAGGTGGGGACCAAGTCTTCAGGTATATTTGATAGTGTAATAAGGGAACGCGCTCGTGGGCCGTTTCCCAGTCTTAACGACTCCCCTCCTTTCTCATGTATAATATTATACTTCACAAGGGAAAAAACAAAGTAAAAAAAATCTCACGCAACAACATTATCTTCACAAGCACAAAAATCACTATAATAACCTTCATGATCATAAGGAAGATTCTCAGCAAACGGAACAGCTCTCGCATAACCAACTGGACCATGAGGAAAACCACCTTCTCCGATATGAAAACCATAATCATATTTACCAATAGTAAAAGGAAAAATAAAATTGTGGCGACCAACACAGGTTTTTCCATCACGAGGCTTAAACTTCAAGTATAAACGATCGTTGAGCCAACGATTCCAAGCGTCATTTTGGTAATTCCAATGCTGTTCATCTCGCAACCAAGCCAGTTCTGCTACATTGCCTGTAAAATACCAATCACGACACGGGCCACAGTTCGGACAAGGATGACCCTGGCAAGAAAGTCTGCCGCTGTTAATATCTGGCACAGAAAATTCTTCTGATTCTAAGAGAAAGAATGATAAATATTCAATAGAGTTGCGTGGTGGCTCTAGTTTTCTACTTTGTATTTAAAAAGACAAAAATAGTAACTGAAAAGAATGTTGATTCAAAAAAGCGATCTCGATCATAATAGTAGTGTCAAACCGTAAAATTTTCTTTTTTCTTTCCTACCTAATAATACTTGATGTGAATCGAAATCACTTGTCATTGTCGGTGTCAGTGTGATGTCTGCATACAGTGGTCTCTTTTTTTCAAAAAGATCCAATACTCCAGGCTCCGTCACCTGTCGCTCAGCCACATATTTACCATCATATATCATAACTTTATTATCCATGATAGTCACCGCAACATTTTGCAAGAGTGTTGCATATTCAACTAAAGGAATCCAGGCGTCATTTCGTGTTTCGAGAAATACTCTAATGAATTGATTTCGTGGCATCATTGCCAATTCAATATTCACACATTGTTTCAAACATTGTGTCAGCTTCACAATCATATCAGTATCTAAATCCTTAAGTGCAGCATATGAATGCATCGCTGCGGTGAGAGCTTTTGCCTTGTCTGAATCGGTTCCGTTATTTCCTCTGACAAAAAATCTCTCGACTAAACAAACGATCACTTGATTTGTTTTTGCACTTTCACTGAGCTCCATAACAGCCCCAAACGCCCCTCGTTCAACAGAATAAAACGCATTCTTGTTACCAAGTGCATTGAGAAGGCTAGTGATGACCTCATGCGTTACTGCTTTTTCACCGATCTTTCCAAGAGTATCACACGCTTCTTGTCGGATATCCCGGTCCCATTTCTTGTCACGAAGTGCCTCGACGAGACCAGCTATCACCACACTCGTTGCTGATTTTTCACCCATACTTCCCAGAGCGTTGCATGCCTTTGCTCGGATACGTTCAGGATAGTTAACATTGTTACGCATCGCATTGGTGAGGCCGACCAGCACATTCTCCGTTGCTGCTTTTTCACCTAATTTTGCAAGCGTTTCGCAGGCACTTTCTCGCAAATACACACTCTTGTCGCCGAGTGCGTCAACGAGACCAGCTAGCACTTTTTCGGTTATTGCTTTTTCACCCATATTGCTAAGAGCTTCACATGCATTTCTTTGGTGACCAGAGTTCTTGTCGATAAGAATACTGACGAGATAATCGATCACCTTATCATTTGCTGCTTTTTCACCGATCTTGCGAAGAGCTATACAGAACCAAAATCTCATATCTTTATCCTCGGCTCTAAGTACATTGTGGAGAGCAGCGATCATCTCCTTCGTTCCCGCTTTGTCACCGATATCCGAAAGAATGCTGCATGCCTCTTTTCGAACATTCAAATCCTTATTGCCAAGTGCTTCGATAAGACCAACAATCAGCTCATTCGTCTCTGCTTTTTCACCAAACTTTCTAAGAGCAATACACGCTGTGGATCGGACATCGCTGTCCTTATCAGCAAATGCATTAAAAAGAGCAGTGATCGTCTCCGTTGTTGCCGCTTTTTCAAGAATTTTTGCAAGTGCCTCACACGCACTTTTTCGAACATTTACATTTTCATCACGAAGTGCATTACTGAGACCAACTATGACCTCATTCGTTGATGCTTTTTCGGCAAGTTTCACCAGAGCTTCAATCGCACTGTGGCGAACGTCGAAAGCTCGGTCGTTACATGCATTCAGGAGAGCAGTGATGACCGTAGCAGTTATTGCTTTTTCACCCATGCTCCCAAGAACGTTACACGCGATCTGACGAATTGAACGATGCTTATCTTTAAATGCTTTTAGGATAACAGTTAATACGTCATTCGTTGCTGCGCTTTCACCAATTTTTACAAGAACTTCACACACATTTTGTCGAACATTCGCATTTTTGTCATAAAATGCATTGCTGAGAGCCGAGCTTACGTCTTCTGTTGCTGCTTTTTCTCCAAATTTTCCAAGAGCTTGACACGCATTTATCTGAACATCCGGATCATTATCACGAAGCACATAGCTGAGAGCCGAGATTACGTCTTCCGTTGCTGCTTTTCCTCCAAATTTTCCAAGAGTTGGACACGCATTTTTTCGAATATCCGTATCTTTATCACCAAGTGCTTTGAGTAAAACAGTTAGCACCTCATTGGTTGCCGCTTTTTCACCGATGTTCCCAAGAACTTGAAATACACATATTTGAATCCAATTACTCTTAGGACGAAGTACATTGATGAGACCAGTGATTGCTTCAGTCGTTGATACTTTTCCGCCGAGCTCCATTAGAGCTTCATGAGCACTGCGACTGACGTCAAAAGCTACGTCGTTAAGTGCATTGATGAGAGCAGCTAGCACATCATTAGTTGGTGCTGTTTCAGCTATCTCTCTGAGAATCTTGCATGCCTTTTTTCGGACCTGGTAGTTCTCATGAACAGCAAGTGCATGGATGAGAGCAGTGATCACCTTATCTGCTGATGGTGTTTTGCTGAGCTTCATAAGAACTTTATGCGCACTGCCATTGACGCCGATGGCTTCATCGTCAAGTGCATTGATGAGGACAGCAATCGCTTCATCGATTGGTGTTTTTTCAGCGATCTTTCCCAGAATCTCACACGCATTTATTCGAACGAGGAATTTTTTATGATGAGCAAGCGCATGGACGAGACCACCGATCACTAGATTCATTGTTACTTTTTCACTCAATTTCACTAGGGCATTACACGCAGCTGTGGTAACATCGTTAGAATTAGCACCGAGTGCTTTGATGAGCCCGCCGATTATGTTAGTTGTTACTGCATTCTTATTCAGCTTTCCAAGAGCTTTGCAGGCAGCTATGCGAACAAGCCAATGATTATCTCCAAGTGCTTTGACAAGAGCATCGGTGAGCTGCTTGGTCACTGCGTTAGCGCCAATGTTTCCAAGAACATCACAGGCTTCTTGCCGAATTGAGTATGATGAATCTTTTAATTGACGGAGAAGCACAGAGAAGAGTTTTTCGATAGGTTGCAACGCAGGTAATTGAGATATTAAACGAAGTAATCGACATTTCTGAGATTCATCACTGATGTACAGTAGTTGAGCGAGATTGTTTTGCATGAGTTTGTTTTGAAATATAGTCGATGTTTTCGAGAGAATTGCTATCATATTATCTTTAACGACGTTCGCTTCGATATCGAAGAATGTTTTGAATAAATGCCATAGTTTGTTTAGTATATTTAATCGATCATCAAACACGTCTGAATCGCCCAGCTCATCGATACATTCAGTGAGAAGTTGCGAATGCTGAAGACTACCAAGATCAATGGGTTCCCCTTGAATCTTTGTCCAAAATGTATTGATGCATGCTTGATAATCGGATTCTGCGAGAAGACCCGTGGCAAAGATAAACATCAAACGAAATCGTTGGTTATATTTTTGATGGCTGATGAAATGAGTAGCTTCATTATCATTTGAGCTTTTCAATGCTCTTAGTAAATGACGTGCTGCAAAAAATTCTTGATAACTGGGATGAATGAAATAATATTGTTTTGTAGTTTCATTCTGATTTTCAAATGACTTTTTATCATATGGTTTCAGAATACCCGTTTGTAAAACCCGTGAATATTCGTGTAGATCGCATCCGGTTTCTCTTGTTGCCTCTTGTACAAGATCTGAGGACAAAATAATTTTGTCGTTTTGCACCGTTTTGAAAGCTAAATATTCCAAAAATTGTAATTCTCTATCAAATTGCTTATAGACAGCGTCTTTCGTCATCTGTTCTAGATTTTTATTGTCTTTAGTAATTTGTCGTCGACATAGCCATACTACGAATTTCTCGTACAATGCAGTCATTGTTGATACTTTCGTTTCTAACTGATGTGGATCCACCCAAAGTCTACATATCAGTTCAAGGTTCACAGGAATACTGGCAACACGATAAATACTCCGATTTGAATATAGGAAATCTAGTAGTTTTTGGTCTTCGGACGAAGCATTTGGTAACTCACCTTCAATCCGACGAAAAAAGTGCCCGATATACCTTGAAATATCACCATGTATAAATCCCATTATTTTCATTTTCACATCGCATGAAATTACAAGGTCATAAGACGAAGACATCAATATATAATTTTGTTTTTCCCATATATCATCGAAACACTGTTTCAGTTGTTCTGGAATGTTTGCAGTTAATTCATCATATCCGTCCAATATCCATAAAACGTTTCCGTTATTACATTTTTGCAAGAAAGATTTTTTCTTCTTCTGTGATATATCGCCGAACGGTGTATATTCTCTCTCAATAAGATCAACTAATGTGTAAAGTTTTGTCGCTGGATATCGAGTGTTATTCAGCTGTAGAAAGTCAATCAACACAACCAATTCATAACGAGACCAGAGCTTCCCTTTGGCCCATCGATAAGTAACATATTGACAAAATGTTGATTTTCCAATTTTTGGTCGTTCCAGTATCTGCACCTTTTTTATAGGAGCAATGGAACTTCCAAAAATTTCTTCGATGTCAATTGGCGTTTGATCACCATACATTTCTTCATAGGCGCCTAAAACCGTACTATCGTGTCGTTTCCAATGATAATCTTGTTCCTTTTCTGGATCGGCCGTGCTTTTCATTTCATATTTTGGTGACTTCTCTTGCTTTTTGTGCTGCTCTTTAGTGTTTACCATTGCCAAATTAATATAGATGTGCTCGATTGAAAAGGTATCCTCTTCATTCAATATACATTTGATTTTGTCTTCTTTTAAAGATATCTAATAAAAGAAAGGTAACAGAGAAAACAAAAAAACAAAAAAAAGAATCATTAGTTGGCGGACTTTATGTACTCGTCGTATATGATTATGACATTTGTTCACTTGGCTTATTGTGGACTTGGAGTATACCAATCAGAAAATCCAAAAAACAACTGATCATCGAATTTAGTATTTTATTTTGTATTTTTTTCGTTTTAGAATACAGTATATGCAGGAACAACAAAAAATGTCGTTTTCTTCGTGTATCTACAAAGTGTGATGGTAACTAATTATACAACAGTACGTCCGAAATGAAAAAATGGCATCGTTTATTCTACTCCATCTAAACTTGCCAGAAAACGTTTTTAAACTTACTCCGATTTTTGGAACTACAGTCCCCCTGCTTCAACCTCTTCGCGTTGTCACTGAAAGTAACTCAAACTCTGAAAGTTTATAGAAAAGTAAATCTGACGTCTAAATTGTACTACCCTGAAATGAATAGTCGACAGTCTCTTTTAATATTATTCCTTGTTTTCTTTAGTTTTGTACAATGTTTGAAGTTATCACTCACATTGAACATTTACCAAATGAATTATGGTTTGAATGTTTTGAATATCTTGATGGTTATGATATTCTCATGTCATTTCGTAATTTAAATCGACGAATCAATGATATTATCAATAGTACTCAACTTCGTATCAATTTATCAATTTTATCCAAATCAATGTTTGATCGTCTTTTAAATCGATTTATTCCATACATATCAAAAACGAAAAATGATGAGAGAAAAGTAAAAAAGAGAAAAAAAATCCGAGAGATCGTGAAATAGAAGACAGAGATACTGGAAAGGAGTATAAGGAGAATAAGTTCTTCAGCTTTTAATCGAATATTTTGATCAGACTCTTCCTGAAAATCGATATAGTTAAGGCCTGTTACGATGAATCCCAACCAGTCAGTTGGTTTCCATTGTTTGTTTTGCTTATCGCCAATCATACATGGAATAATATGCTTGTTTTTCTCTTTGGCATACTGTAATTCATTTTTACAGTTAATGGAATCCTGATATTCTGGTGTCATAAAACAGCAAACGGTGTCAGCTGCATCTACGGCGCTATTCATGCTAAACGTCAGAAAATTGCATCTCATCATATTTTAAAAGAGTTTTTCAAGGTTAGAATCTATACCCGTCGGAGATATTCTCTTCCAAGTGCCGATCATCATAACAAACTGATATATTCTTCTCCTTCAGAGTGTTGAAAATTTTTTTCACGATCTGCTTGCTGTTATAATTATATGAGAGCATGACTTGCTTCCTTTCATTGTGCATCATCGATGTGATTCCAGTAGGATCAATTGATCTGTATTCAATATTGCCAGGTTCCTAAATATCGAGAAATATTCTGATAACTATTTTTTCGTAGTTCGCTGATAAGGTTATCGGTTGCATAGATGGAGTATATTTTGTGTAATAAGAGAGATTTATTATGCTATCGATAGCTGCATAATATCTGCAACATCGAAAGCATTACTTAATTATATTAATTAAACCCACTAATAACGATAGAAGTGATATACGTACGTATTCTTAGTTGTGTCAAATACACTCAATTAAGAGTGTAATATTCCTTAGAAAGATGTACTTCCAAGAAGACACGAAAAATGGATTCGTTTTTTAAAATCAAAATTGCAAAGAACTGGCTGCAGAAATTTATTAATATTTTGAGCTAGATAGATCTCGTAAAAAAACAACTGTTGTGATGGACGCAAAGTTCTCAGGAGCTTTCTTTTAGGGATTTTGGAAATATCAAGTTTCCATATCTTTACTGAAAACTCTTTTTCCTCATAGAAGGTTGATATTTTGAAGGTCGTATTAGTAAAAATCTATTCCCCTAGACTATAGTCTAGGGTCTGTACGACGGTAAAGAAAGCATTTTGCTGTCTGTCTGTCTGTGTTTGCGTGTGTCTGTCTGTCTACAACATGCTTTTAAGACCATCGTTGGTCAAGTGGCTTTTCTAGCCTGTGTCTGTCTTGTCTGTCTGTAACACATTTTTTTAAAAACCACAGTGGAATCTGTTGTCGGTCGATCCAGAGTGAAGGTTTTTATTACGTTACAAGAAAAAGGATCTCTCTTTCTCACTTGATTGATCACTTTCGCGCCTGTTTGGGTTTCCTGCTGATTCGTTCGAATATCGAGTGCTATGACTCCTTCGACTTCAATGCCTCTCTGTCTGTGAAGAATACTGTTTTGAGACCTCAGTCCATCCCTTGGTCGATCGCTGTTTTAATTTGAATGGTTGAAAGCTACTTCATTGTCTTTATGTTTGTCTGATCGGGGTTAAGTAGCTTACGCCGTTCGAAGAGGTTTTCATGATCGTGAGAGCAGGTTCCAGAGTGAGTGCTGATCTAGATCGTTTGAGAGTCGAAATGTCTCGTCGGTCTCGAAAACAGCGAAGGGAGCGCGGCCAGGCTCGCATAGCTTTTCCGACTCATTGACATCATCATTTCACAGAAGATAATTTACTTTCCAGAGCTAGAGCTAAATTCTGTGTAGGTGTAAATGACCATACTAGAAGCCAATACTGTCCGTCTGAAATTCATCAGTACGGAACGAAAAGGTATCTCCGAATTCAGTCTAGGGACGAGTGAATCGGAAGCCGATTCACGTTACTTGTTTTATTATGCGCTTTTTTGGCATTGTATATGAGCTCAAAAGTATTTCCTAGACTGAATAGTCTAGGGTCTGTAAGACGGCAAAGAAAGCATTTTGCTGTCTGTGTGTTTGTCTGTCCGCAACATTGCTTTTAAGATCATCAGTGGTCAAGTGGCTTTTCGAGCCTGGTAAGCGTTTTATTCGCCTCCCAAGCAAAGAAACTTGTCTCAGTCTCTCTTTCTTTTAATTTCTCTTTCTTTATTGGTGGTTTTAACGTTTGCTATTTGGATGCTTTTGAAAGAAGATTAGATATTCAGTGTTGAAATATCTTCCCGATCCCGAAAACACCGAGGAAATCTCTAAAAACCCTTCTTGGTTTTTCCGATTGATCGACATCACTGTGCTACGGGCGGCTGTTTGTTTTCCTTGAACTAGAGCTATACTCTCTCGAAATATGAATCAATACGGCAGATATGTACTGCCAATCGTAAGAAAAGTACGGAACTGAAAATGATATCCCGATTTTTCAGTCTAGGGACGAATGAATCGGAAGCCGATGAACGTTACTTGTTTTATTATGCGCTTTTTGGCATTGTAATTATATATACTGGCTGAGGTACCTGGCGTTGCCCGGGAAAATTTAATTCAATCTTGATACATGCGTGAAACACAGGTACTGGACTCGACAGTATCTAGCAAATCCTGATCGGCAGTGGGCTCTCCGTTGAGAGCCCCGCTGCAAAAGCTATTCGTAGGCAGCTCAGGGGAAAAATGGGCTTCTATCGAAATAAGGCACAACAACAGATGTAATTGATTTAAACTCTCTTTCACAGGTCCTATTGATCGAGAGAATTCCGATCGTAAATTGTGCTCTGTATTGCTCGAATTCCGTTGAATTCTGATCTCTTTTAAAGACAGACAGACAGATAGACAGATTATTGTGCGACAGCGACTTTTCCAGCAACGTGAGAAGGCTATTTCTATGGACTAAGGGCTGACCCATAGCCTTTTGAACCTGACAAACTGTTTAACCCTTTCCGGCATGATATTGCCAAATTGCAACATTTTCCCGAAGGGAGGACGACAATTTTTTTAATAGCCGCTCGGAAAGGGTTAAAATGTTTATCAAAAGTTGGTTCTAACTTAACCACTACGATTTCGAGACGAATGGACATCAGATTCGACCTCATCGACTCTGAAAACCCCCCTTCTCGGAAAAAATAGCTCTCGACCTTCTCCTGGATGGAAGGAGGATTTCTGGAAAGTTTGGCTTCACGTACTCTGTCCAAATGCATAGCGAACAAACAAACAGACAAACAAACTTTCTTCTGTATATATTAGATTAGGTATATATATATATTATATCGTTAGGTAGTTTCCTCATGTCATAGGGAAATTCCCTTCACTACTGTTAACACAAATCTGACTGGGAAAAAACCAAAGAACTGATCAAGGGTATAGATTACAGAACGAAAGAAAGAAAGAATATATGTAGGATAATTCCCTATGGAATGTTTCCGTAATATTCCATAACACCAAAGACGACATTTTCTCTCTCTCTCTACCTCTATCACGGTTAGAAAAGAACTGTAACACAAGATATCTTACTGTGAATACATGGGTTTATTGCTAACCTTTAGATTCCTTGCTAGTAGTAGTTGAAAGTATGCGCTTGAAAAGGGTATGTCCGGGTTTGACTGTTTTTCGGCCCCCATTATTTATCGAAGATTTCTATCCAGCGAGAATCAGACTTCCCTCCTGAGTAAAATGCTGTATTTTTTTCTTCGAGAAAGCGTGAAAAAAATTTTCGACCCATCCGGACCCTTGGGGTAGGGTACGGGAATATCGGAAAAAAATATTTCAAACGAGGGACTATCTGACTACGGGGTTTTGTAGAGCTTCAAATGCTGATTCTAAAACTGTGGTCGGATTCAAAACTCGCTTCTTCTATGGCGGAGTTACAGTGACATTTCGATCGACCGATCTGATGGTCCTTTCAGAGTCAGTTGACCTAAAGTGTATCTGAAATCGGCCTCGATAACCCTTGAAGGCTTCGTTCCCACTCAGAATTTTGCGCTCTTTTCGATGGTGAAATAATTGAGACTGAATATCTTTTCCTTTCTTTCGTACAGGCCAGATACCTTTGAGCACCTTTGAGATGCCTGTTTTCAGCTAATAAGTCGATCTAGGCTATCTCTGTGAAGAAGGCGTGAACCAATGAGATCTTTTTACCGTGGATACATCCTCTCATGATGTTTCAACAGCACCAGTTTAATCCAGATAAAAGATTGTCTCTGGTACCCTTCTTCGCGATGCACTGGGAGGGTTGTACCATCGCCGTGTAGGAGCTGTAGACCTCGATGAATCTCATCCAAAATTGTCCAGATACAGTTAAGAGGATTACTTCGTGCGTAGAATATTGTTCCGCATTAAATGAGAACATATCCGATTCTACAACCTCGTTCTGTCTATAGAGAAAGTGTCCAATCCATGATCCACGAGAGCACTGTCAATGCATGAAGTTTGTGAAACTTGTGTTCAGGAGAAAGTCATGAACCTTTGGTAAATTCCACTACCGAAAAAGAGCCTATCCTTCTCCGCGTGCTTCGGAATAAGTTACTACAGCGGATCATTGTTTGGAGGCGTTCACGATGTGTATCTTATCAGTAGACACATAATTCGTTTCGGAATAAGATAATGTTCGTTCAGAGAGATTATGTAAGTTTATTCGATCTTGGCTCTTCGTAGTCTCGGTGTGGAAAGCGCTCGAATTACTCCATTGCCAAGATCTCTGTATGCCAGGACGGTCGGTATTTGTTACGGGAGTCCAACACATTGAGGTTTTTTCATTAGGAGGGACACTACTTTAGCCACTGAGCGGATAACGAATAACAGAAGATGCAATCAATCCGAATCATTTTTCAAATGAGTGAGCGAGTAATCTTCTGTTCTCGATATGCCACCGAGTACATGCATGCCTTGCATCCTCCTAAGCTCGGGTTACTAGAGAGCGATATCGAGATCATGCGTGTTAAGTATTCGATCTCCGCACACCGAGATCAAATATGATTAGGACTGCATACAGAACTCACTGACGAACTTCTCAGGCTGGGGTTACCAATCCGAAGGCGTTGTTCGAAGACTGAGCCGCACCGCACCTTCGCCAACAAACACCTGT